CGCTTCCCTGTCCCCGCCCGCTCTGGGTCTCTATCTCCTCCCCTTTCCCCAAATACATAAACATGCCAGGTTCACAGGATTCCCCTTAGCGCTGTGGCTCCCAGGATACCAAACCTGCCCTCCAGGCCCCGCCCACCAGGTCTCTGGACCTTCCCACCAGCCTGCTGCTCTCTACCTACCCCATCTGCAGTCCTAGGGGGATTCCCAGTCTTGCCTACCGGGCTACAGCCTTCTCACTGGGTCCACAACACGCTCACAACTCTCCTGCCAGTCCAACCATCACCCCAACCCTCCCTTCCTCGCCGGGTGCCCCAGCGTCCACAACCCCCTCCCACCCCTAGAGAACCGCGCGCTGCGCCTGGTGGACGGTGGCAGCGCCTGCGCCGGCCGCGTGGAGATGCTGGAGCATGGCGAGTGGGGATCGGTGTGTGATGACACTTGGGACCTGGAGGACGCCCACGTGGTGTGCAGGCAACTGGGCTGCGGCTGGGCAGTCCAGGCCCTGCCCGGCTTGCACTTCACGCCGGGCCACGGACCTATCCACCGGGACCAGGTGAACTGCTCCGGGGCCGAAGCTTACCTGTGGGACTGCCCGGGGCTGCCAGGACAGCACTACTGCGGCCACAAAGAGGACGCGGGCGTGGTGTGCTCAGGTCAGTGGGCGGAGTCACTGAAGCGCGGTCACCACCGACACTCACCATAGGCCTACTGGGCGCCAAGCCTGGAGTTAGTGCCGGAGAGGTGGTCCCTGTCCTTGAGAGGTCACAGTTCAGGAAGTGAGATGAGACTGAGACAAACGTAATTCAGGAGAGAAAGTGGTAAATGCCGCCAAGAAAGGCAGTCAGGTGGCATCTAGAGGCAGCAGGCAACGTGGAGCTGGAGGCTAAGGCGGACCACCTCCTGGAAGAGGTGACATTAAAAGTGAGACTCTTCCCAAGTGGGAGTTGGTCACCTGCATTCAAGCAGCAAGGAGAGACTGAAGGCAGGGAGGCCTCTGAGGAGGCTGTTGATCTGTCCAGGTGAGGCCAGAAGGTTCTGGACCAGCCAGTGCCTCTCTTTGATATGCAGGAGATGGGGGAGGTGGGAGTGTTAAAATGTGGATTCTGATTCAGTAGGTCTGAGGCAGAGCTCCAGAGTCTGCGTTTCTAACAAGATCCCAGGCAATGCCAATGCTGCTGCTCCACAGACCACACTTATCACAACAGGGCTGGCCAGAGCAGATGGGGCAGGTGACAGGGAGACACAGACACAGGAGGGAGAAGACACAAGATCTGGAGACCAAATGGCTTCATTGGTGCCTGCCCTGGTGGGTCTGGGCTGACGGGAATATCTGCCCAAAGGATCCTGACCTGACTCTGTCCCCTGCCCCTTTCCTGCAGAGCACCAGTCCTGGCGCCTGACCGGGGGCGCTGACGCCTGCGAGGGGCAGGTGGAGGTACACTTCCGAGGGGTCTGGAACACAGTGTGTGACAGTGAGTGGTACGCATCAGAGGCCAAGGTGCTCTGCCAGTCCTTGGGCTGCGGAACCGTGATCGAGAGGCCCAAGGGGCTGCCCCACTCCTTGTCCGGCAGGATGTACTACTCATGCAACGGGGAGGAGCTCACCCTCTCCAACTGCTCCTGGCGGTTCAACAACTCCAACCTCTGCAGCCAGTCGCTGGCAGCCAGGGTCCTCTGCTCAGGTACCCCATCCCACTCCACCCCCCAGATATAAGCCAGAATACTACCTGAATCCATGTCCTAAAAACTTACAGTCCAAGGACCACAATAGGCACCAGATCGGCAATGGCACATATGGCATAAGAAGGACCGTTGTCCTTACGGTGCCCAGGCAGACAGTGCTAATTCATCGAGGCATTTTCAGATGCTCCACTCAGCCCCAGAATGATGAATCGTATATGAAGACATATGCTAAGCAACGGTTCCTCTTGACTGGGATTGACTCAAGAGTTGAAACCAATTTGCCATCCCAGGCCTGGTGATGATAGTAAAAATAATATTAGCAGGCCCTAGTAAAAATATCGGTGACAGCTTCTGGAACCCTGATGATATGCTAGGCATTGTTGAGCACTAAGAAGCTCTTATTTCAGCTAAGCCTCATACCTACTCTATGGGTTGGGTTCTACCATATTTCACCAAATCTAAGATGGCATTGTTTATAAGTTGCACCATTATTATTTTATGTACCGTAAAGAAGAACAAACGCTGCCAAAATAAACCACCAAACGTAATGATTGAGGCCATGATCCCAGTTTCAGACGTGTTAAAGTTTGAAAAAATGTGAGTGTTAGATAGATCTGAAGAAACATCATATTTACATTCTTACGGCATTCAGACACCTGGTTACAAATTCCAGCTCTGCCATTTACTAGCAAGGAGGCTTCCAACAGTCCCTTAACCTACAAGTGTGGATGCTGATACTAGGCACTTCGCAGGATAGCTGGGAAACCTGATGGTAACTGCTGAGGGACTTTTAAGCTCCTTTCTTTGTGAGCATACCTGCCCAACGGGAATGCCGATGATGATAATGAAGATAATGTCAGCTCGTCATCTCCCTAGGCCGATTAAGAACAAACTGAAACTGAATGGAACAGGGATTTGTGGTCTGTAGCAGCTTACACAGGAAGAAGGGATAATTCTATTAGCCCTTTATTCTAATCAAAGAGCTTTCCCAGCATTTAATCCATGAGTTCCTCCTTACTGTGGGGGGAGGAGGGCAGGGATGTAAGTTTCCTTAGCCACGTGCCCCTGATAGGAGCACAACCCTAGTTCTGGGTTCCCTGTCTGTCCCATTCAGTTTCTAACCCAAGGCCTGGCACACAGTAGGTGCTCAGCAACATGCATTGAGTGACTGGGCGGTGTTTTCTGACAGCTTCCCGGAGTTTGCACAATCTGTCCACTCCCGAAGTCCCTGCAAGTGTTCAGACAGTCACCACAGGTAAGTGTTGCTGGGTACTACACGGTTTCTCAGAAGCTTGGACGTGTGTGTGTGTGTTTCTGTGCACACCTGTGTTGGGGTTGAGGATGGTTTGGTCCCCATCCTCCACCTCCAGCCAATGGACTTGCCTCCCCGGGGCTCTCCGGGCATCACTTTCTACTCTTTCTACATCCCCTCCTTGCCAAGTCAGCCTGTAGATTACTGAGTCCTGAGACTTCCTGGACAGGATTCCATTCCACCACTTTCCTGTGAGCTCCTGGAGGGAAGAAGGAAAGAGCTGGAGAGAGCTGATACCACCTCGAGCAGGGGTCAGGGTCAGGGGGCGGCAGGGGTAGGGTGATCTTGGCCCAGCTGGGTAGCGGGAATATTGGGACACAGCCCTGTGTTCATAACAGGCCAAACACTGGGCCTAGTGCTTTGTAGCTATTATTTCCCAACCCTTTAATCCTCTCTGTAGCCAAATGGGAGAGGTCTTAGTATAATCCTTACATCAAGAAAGGAGCTGAGGCTTCGAGGCTGAAGTCACAGCTAGTGATTGCTGGCCAGAACTGACAACCAAGGCTCTGAATTCCAGATCCATTCTTGGTCTACCCACCAGCTGTGTGTAGCTTGGCTGGCATCAGAGCAGACTCCCAGGACTCAAATCCCAGCTATGCCTCTTGCTAGCTGTGTCCTGTTGGACAACTCTTAACCTCTCTGAGCCTCAGATGCCTCAATTATAAAATGGGGGTGATACGCATATAGCACCTTTCTCCTAGCATTGCTGTGAGGCTCCAGTGAATTAATTTTTGTAAAGCACTTAGAACAGAGCCTCGAAGACTGTAAGAACTGCCTGAAGGTCTGCTGTTGCTATGAGTATTGAGTTCAGGCATAGAGCCCCTTTGCAGTCCTGGGAGACCCACAGGGGCTGGCCCAGACTCCCTTGCTGTGCCTCCTAGCTCTCTGTCATCTTCTCTCAGACACCCCAGAAGCAGTGAACAGGGGTTTGGGGAGAGGGCACAGAGGCCCTAGCCATAGATGACAGCACAGAGAGGAAATGAAACACACAACTGCACAGGCTGCCGGGCGAGCTCCTGCCAGGCCCTGCAGACAACCTTCACACACTTTCTCTTCCTGAAGTTGGGGTGGGGATCCACGCCATCCCGGAAGGGCAAAGAGTGAAGCACAAAGAGAGATCCAGGGACCACGCTCCGGTCCTTGGTTCATCAGCCCCTCCCTCGGCCACGGCCCTCTCGGCCCACATTCACGGGTCTCCCCATGGCCGCAACACCCAGCCTCACTCTCACATCTACTTCTTGCTGCCAGAGCCAGCTCCCATCCTGGCCCAAACTTCCCCATTTGCAAACAGAAAGGGGAGAGGAGAAAATGAAGACAGGGAGAGGGCTCCCTCCTGGGGAAGCAGACACTGCCTCCAGCAAGGAGGTCTGGATGATCTCATCTCCCTCCCGGTCGCTGTCACTACTAGTCATCTAGCCCTGTGGTCTGCTCACTCCAGGCACCCTCCTCACTGCCCCTTGTATCCATTCTTGTGCTTTGCATTCTTTTAAGCAGAGGGGAGGCTGAGGGAGGGGAAAGGCAAGAAGTCACCCCAGAGTGGGGCTGCAGAGGTGGGAGACCCTGAATCCCAGACCCCACTCCTGTCCTCGTGGAGGGGATGTCTGGTGGGAAGGAGGGGGTCTCAGGCACAGCTCTCCTGATGGTCTGTTCACTGCCAGAGGTGGCTCAGAGTCGCTGTCTCTGGGAAGTCAGCCTTGGGCTTCCCTCACAGAGAATGGGGTGCCTTTTATAGGGCCTCATGCCCCCAGTGTCGCTGTTCAAACCTCCATCACAGCAGGTACCTCACCATATTGGATTGGGTTACTTATTGATCTCTCCACTAGACAGAGCCCCGCAAGGCCTGTGATACTGTTGTCATATGTGTAGCCCCAGGGTCTAGTGCCAGGCACACAGGGTACTCAATAATTGTCTATTGAACAAAGACTAAATACTGAAGAGCTAGCAGACAGATAGATATCTGCAGCCTGGTGGCCAGAGTTTTATTTCAGGCAGTAATTCATTTAATCAATTAATCATGCATGCAATGTGCATTTATTGAGCCCCTAATGTATACCACACACTTAAAAGCAGATGGGGAAAAAATAGAAAAAGGAAGCAAGGAGGAAGATAACATAAAAAGGGAAGCAGGTCAGCTTTATAGAGAATGGAAAGGCAAAAAGAAGGTTGAGTGCCCATTCTTTCTTCCTGCATTGGAATTCTTGTTTCCAGAATCTTCTGTGACAGTGAAACTAGAGAACAAGGAATCTCGGGAGCTAATGCTCTTCATCTCCTCCATCGTTCTGGGAATTCTTCTCCTTGGCTCCCTCATCTTCATAGCCTTCATCCTCTTGAGAATTAAAGGAAAATATGGTAAGTGCAAGGTTCTGGGAGCCACTGCCATCCCAGGGGGGTGTGAGCCTCGGCAGAACCCCAGCAGCAGTGGTGTGGTCCAGCAATGGCCAACCGACCCTGGCCCTGGGGAACTCCCCATGGTGGAAAGGATTTTCCCAGCATGCCCAGCAGTCGTGTACCCACCAGCGGGGAGGACCAGGCTCTGTGCATGTGTGTGCGCGTGTGTGTGTGTGCGTGCGCGTGCCTGCAAGTGTTGGGGGAATGAGGAGGGTGGTGTCTCGATGAGAACAGAATGGAACCAGGTAGACTGGGAGAGGGCAAAAAAATGACTTGTAGAATTTCTGCCTCCCCTCCCTCAGCCCTCCCCGTAATGGTGAACCACCAGCACCTACCCACCACCATCCCAGCAGGGAGCAATAGCTATCAACCGGTCCCCATCACCATCCCCAAAGAAGGTAGGATGTCCCCCATCCTGGGTGTGGGAGGGCTGGGGAGGACAAGAAGGGTGCACTTTCTGGAAGGTCAGCACTGCTTAGGTCCAAGACGTACATACGGCTGGAGATGAGATCTGGGCCAGCCCATTCACAGCCCTGGGACCTTGAGCAGGCTCAAGTCATCCCTAGACGTTGAAGGGCAGATGACTTCCAATTCAGTCACACTAGGACTCTAGAGTTTTGAATTCTGAACAAATACAGGCTAAGCACGGTTTAGATCTTTGTTCTCAGAGGAAAACTCTGTTCTGCTTTGCTCTGCTAGTTGGCTGGTAGGCTTGTGATATCATCATCCCTGTCAGCGTCCTGCCCAATTGGCCTTGCGAAGCCCCATCAAGATTCTCCTAGAATGTGGTTTTATTTCATATTTCATGTTTCCTAAGCAAAAAAAAAATTGGGGCCAGGCACAGTGGCTCACACCTGTAATCCCAGCACTTTGGGAGCCTGAGGTGGGCAGATCACTTGAGGTCAGGAGTTGGAGACCAACCTGGCCAACATGGTGAAACCTCGTTTCTACTAAAAATGCAAAAATTAGTGGGGTGTGGTGGTGTGCACCTGTAATCCCAGCTACTTGGGAAGCTGAGGCAGGAGAATCGCTTGAACCTGGGAGGTGGAGGTTGCAGTGAGCCGAGATCGTGCCACTGCCTGGGAGACACAGCAAGACTCTGTCTCAAAAAACAAAAAATAGGTCAATCATTCATCCTTTATGATATGTGGACTTATGCCTCTTGAAAGTCTTGCAGAGGAATCTGAGCTTAATCACCTTGCATTATGAATATATTCAATCACCTTTATGGGAAAGAGTTCAATGACATAAAACCCAATACAAAACTCAGCCAAATATTGTAAATATCCTTTGCACAGAGTGTCCATATATTTGAGAAGAGAATGTGAATACAGCATCTAGCACAAGGCTTAGCACAGGGCAGTTGCTCACCGAATAGCACAGTCTAGAGGTTTAGAGCCAGACTGCCGGCTCTGGGCCAGGTAAGAACCTGTCTGTGCCTCAGTTCCCTCCAAGGTAAAATGGGGATGGTAATGTACCTACTTCACAGAGTTATGAGGGTTAAATGAGGTAATACTTGTAAGTGTTAGAATAGTGCCTCACATATAGCAAGTACTGTGTTAAGCGTTTGCTAAATAAATGTTTAGTTCTCCATATTGGAAATGAATGAAGGCAGCCTAGAAACTTCAGACTGGGTGGTTTGTACAAGATGGGCTACCCAGGCCGGGCACGGTGGTGGATGCCTGTAGTCCCGGCACTTTGGGAGGCCGAGGGGGATGGATCGCTTGAGCCCAGGAGTTTGAGACCAGCCTGGGCAACATTGTGAAAACCTTTCTCAATTCAAATATTAGCTGGGTGTGATGGTGCATGCCTGTGGTCCCAGCTACTAGGGAGACTGAGGTGGGAGGATCACCTGAGCCCAGGAGGTCAGTGCTGCAGTGAGCTGTGATGGCACCACTGTACTCCAGCCTCGACAACAGAGTGAGACCCTGTCCCAAAAAAGAAAAAAAAGAAAAAGGGCTACTTGGTGCTCTCCTGCCACTCTGCCTCTCACCTCTGCTGTTCACGCTCTTTACCATCTCTCCCTATACCTTTCTGCCCACCACTTTGCCATGCCCCTGACTCTGTTCTCTCCCCAGTTTTCATGCTGCCCATCGAGGTCCAGGCCCCGCCCCCTGAGGACTCAGACTCTGGCTCGGACTCAGACTATGAGCACTATGACTTCAGCGCCCAACCTCCTGTGGCCCTGACCACCTTCTACAGTGAGTGCCTGGCTGGGCTCCCGAGGGCCCACCTGCCTGAATCAGGGAGGGGACCCCGAGGGGACTGTTAGTAGTCCCACCTAGTAACCCCTGCATGACGCGGACAGAATCCCCCTGGTTACCCATTGTATTGACTGTAAATGGTCCCACATTGACGTTTTCACAGTGCTTTGTGACCCTGGGGTCATCTCGATGTCTCAGGACATCTCCACTCTGACCTCTGTCTCTCCCATGTTTGTCTCCGGCCATGTAGGGTCTTAAGACCAGGCCTTTGACACTCACCTAAAGATGGCTCTCTGTGTGAGAGATGGGGGAGTGCCGATGAGACACACAGTTGGCAGGGGTTCTTGTACGCCCATATCCCTCCGTGTCCCATCCTGCCCTGTCTGACCCCATCGGCCCCACCCACTTCCTTACCTCCACTCTCATGCCAGCTTGTGCCTCATAGCCGGCTCTTTTCTTTGCCTTCTGGGGATAGGAAGAGGAAAGATAACGCTGAAGGCAGGGCCCGGGCAATGCTGGGAGGTTGGAATAGACCAGCGCGTCTCACACCCTATTGTGGAATCACTTGGGAGCTTGTCAACAATTCCTGAGCCCCTCCCCACACCTAATGTATCAGTCAGCATGAGTTTGGCTGTGTGTGACCGAAGGCTCCAAATGACAGGGTCCTGAGAGGTTGGCAGGGGCCCAGCCCCTTCTTTCTTGTTGCTGTGCAGCCCCTAAGATGTCACCTTCATCTGCATGGTCCAGAATGGCTCACCTCCATGTCCACGTTCCAGGCAAGGGCAAGGGAAAGACAGGATGCTGGAGATGGCCACAGCATTCCCGCTCACAACCCAGCGCCCAGCATACAAACCCACTAGCTGCAAGAGAGGCAGGGAAACGAAATCTCTGTCCTGGGCAGCTGTGTCCAGATAAAAGCCAGAATGGATATTGGGCAACAGACAGCTGTCCCGGCCCCGCCTGCTAACCCAGGGCTTCTGGGGCTGGGACACAGATGATTCCACTTCTTCTGGCCTGAGGACCAGTGTTTGGGAGCCACAGGGATGAAGTGTCTATCAAACCTGAGGTTCTGAGCCCAGGCATATAAGATGCAAGACTAAGAGTCCACAATGCTATAACATTGAAATTAAAGGTCAGTGATACCAGATTCAAAAGAGCTGACTCCAAGATCCCAGACAATCATATCCTCCAGACTCTATAAATCTGTTTCTGAAACTTGAAGATGCCGCAGAGCCTGTGATGCAGTGATTCCAGACCATCTGGGTTTCACTCTAGGAAGGCTTCTTGAAGGAGCGAACATCTGTCCTTCTCCTGCCCAGAGCTGCCAGGTCACAAGGACAGAACCCAGACTCTTGATACCTCTCTAAGTAGTAGGAGGGACAGCTGGGGCTGGGGGCTGGGAGATTGCAGGGCACTAGAGTTTCTGGGCCCAGGCTAGTTAAACACGTTGGTCCTAGATTGAGGCGAAGGGTCTGTTGGATTGGGATATGAACCTGGAATTTGATGGGAAATGCTAAGCCCTCTCTGCCTGTAGAGTTGTCCTCCCACCCTGTTCAGCCACCTTGGGCCCAAGGAAATCCAGTCCCTTCTCCAGACTCCTAAATGATGAGGTTGAGCCTTCACCCCTCTCCACCACTGCCTCTGCTTGCAGATTCTCAGCGGCATCGGGTCACAGATGAGGAGGTCCAGCAGAGCAGGTTCCAGATGCCACCCTTGGAGGAAGGTGAGTCAGGTTGGGGAGGGGGGTGAATGGCAGCCCCACCTCCGGACAGTAGCTCAGCTCACCTTGAGACCTTCCAGCAGGAACCTCCCTCAGTGAGTCTTTCTGGACTTTAACCAATCCTATAGGCAGTAAGTGCTTTCTGAAGTCTGACTTAAAGTCTTCTTGCTGCACTGCTTCTTTCGTCACCATTCTCCGTTTCCTGGCTTAGGACTTGAAGAGCTGCATGCCTCCCACATCCCAGCTGCCAGCCCTGGACACTGCATTACAGACCCGCCATCCCTGGGTCCTCAGTATCACCCGAGGAGCAACAGTGAGTCAAGCACCTCTTCCGGGGAGGCTTACTGCAATAGTCCCAGAAGCAAGCCGCCTCCATGGAACCCCCAGGTGTTTTCTTCAGAGAGGAGTTCCTTCCCGGAGCAGCCCCCAAACTTGGAGCTGGCCGGCACCCAGCCAGCCTTTTCAGGTAAGCTGTGCCTCCCCCGAACCCCATCCCATAGCCAGCCTGGCTGGAGGGGGCATGAAGCTGGGAGCCCTGAGCCAGGCCGAGGTCAGGATTCTACCCAGTCCCACAGCCATTCGCTGTGTGCCCTTGGAGAAGTCTCCTCCCATCTCTGAGCCTTCACTTTGTCATTTGTCAAGCTAGGGACTTGGCTCTTGTGAGTCACGTGGGCCCCCCAGCTCTGGCAACTTGAAAAGTGGCTGTGTGCTGGCAGCGGGTGACTGGTTCTGGGGGTTTCCAGCAGGGCCCTCGGCTGATGACAGCTCCAGCACCTCGTCCGGGGAGTGGTACCAGAACTTCCAGCCACCACCGCAGCCCCCTTCGGAGGAGCAGTTTGGCTGTCCAGGTGCCAATATCTGGGGAAGCGATTTTGGGAGGGGGACAGAGAGGGACTGGGGAGTAGATGAGTGGGGAACTATGGGATGCATTAACTCAAGGGGAAAAGGAGAAAGGAAGGGTGAAAGAAGAGAGGGAAAATAACTTTTTAAAAAACAAAGCAAGGCCAGGCATGGTAGCTCAAGGCTGTAATCCCAGCACAAGGCAGGAAAATTGCTTGAGGCCAGGAGTTTAAGACTAGCCCCGGGAACATAGCAAGACCCAGTCTCTACAAAACTAAAAACTAATTATTAGCTGAGCGTAGTAGCATGTGCCTGTAGTCCTAGCTCCTCAGGAGGCTGAGGTGGGAGGCGTGAGCCCAGGAGATCCAGGCTGCAGTGAGCTATGATCGTAGCACTATGGATCATGCCATCGCAGGGTCAGAGCGCGACTCTCTCTCTGCAAAAGAACAAACACAAACACAACAAGAATACGAAGAGGTGGGGAAAATGGATGTGGACGGGATGAAGAAATAGTCAAATAGGTTGCTTTGATAAGTGAGCTCCCTGTTAGTGGAGGCATTCAAGCAGAAGTAGCTGGTTGGCCCCTTGGGGGAGACTGTGGTAGCAGAGGGGCTCCTAGCATTCAGCCGTCCACCACGTCATGCAGCGTGCTATCGTGGAGACCACAGCCCTGAACCAGACAGACGAGGCTCTTCCCTTAGTGCTGATGTCCCAGCCAGGGACATGGCCGGAAGCAAGATGTTCAGATGACTTCATGCAGCATCCCACGGGGATAGTGATGTGGAGCCAGACCCACTCAGCTCTGTCCCGTGGGGCAGCAGGGGCAATGACTGGGTCTCCCACTAACCTGGGCCTCTCTGCCCACAGGGTCCCCCAGCCCTCAGCCTGACTCCACCGACAACGATGACTACGATGACATCGGCGCAGCCTAGGCCGGGCCAGCCGAGGCCTCTGGGGTGGCTCCGACCCTCTGGCCTCCTGCTCTACCTACTCCCTTTCCCCTTCCCCTCCCTCCCAGCTCACCTCCCCGTGGGGCTGAGTCCTCTCTTGGAGAGATGGAAGGAAACGTCACACCTTGTACCGCTCAGTCTCCATCCATCGAGCCAAACCTGCTGGCACAGCCCTCACCCGGCCCCAGATAGCAGCCCCAGGGAGGATGCTGCCTCCAACAGGTGTGAGCCCTCTGTCTCGGGGATGAACAAGCAGAGTCTGGGCTACCTCTCGGCAGCTGGTGGAGGGGAGTTGGGGAGCTGGACTGGATGACTCTGGAGGCCCCTTCCAAACCTCAAGTGTCCGACGCTTTGATTCCCTGAGTTTCTGACACTTCAGGGCCCAGAAGTCCTGGGAGGGGCAGAACTGGGCCCCCGTGCCAGTGCCGCTGCAGGAGGACCCACGCACTAGGGGCTGCCGGGCTGTTGTCACTGATAGGTGACACCACCTATCAGTGTTGGGACGGGGTAGCACACCAGCTGTCCCAGGCTTTGCTCGGGGTGGTAACTGCACCTGGGCAGGGAATACAGCCTTCCTGGGCACAACCAGCTGACAATGACAGGTTGACTGTGTACCCCCAACCAAGGAACTGGGGCCCAAGGCCAGTCCTGCCCCAGAGACACTCCAAGTCCGCCAGGGGCACAGACCAGTTCTACAGTGACTGTCCCTGGACAATGGGTGTTTATTCTGAGTTTCCTATGGTTTACAAAGAAGATTCCAGCCCAGCCCCACCACAGACCCCAGAGATAGGGGCCCAGTCCCCATGGGGGCAGGAGCATAGGGATGTCTTCCAGTGAGGGGCTCAGAAGCTGCACTAGGCCCCGAGTCCCCATGTGTCTCCTCGAATTGATGAGGATGCTCCTGGGAGGATGCATGAATACGCAGTGTTGTGCTCCGTGCAGCCCCCAGAGAGAGGCCCACGGGCTCAGACCAGGCTTTGTTGTCCTGCTCTGAGTATCCTGAGATTAAACTGAATTGCTGAATTAAACCAGGGCGTGGAATGACAATTTCTTAAATGTCATAGAACCCAGGCTGCATGTGTGTGTGCATGCGTGTGTGGCATGTATGTGGCATGTATGTGCATGCGTGTGTGTGGCATGTATGTGCATGCATGTGTGACATGTATGTGCTTACGTGTGTGTGGCATGTATGTGCATGTGTGGCATGTATGTGCATGCATGTGTGGCATGTATGTGCATGCATGTGTGTGGCATGTATGTGCTTACGTGTGTGTGGCATGTATGTGCATGCATGTATGTGTGGCATGTATGTGCATGCATGTGTGGCATGCATGTGTGGCATGTATGTGCATGTATGTGCATGCGTGTGTGGCATGTATGTGCATGCATGTGTGTGGCATGTATGTGCGTGTGTGTGTGTGCGTGGCCTATGTTGGATACAAATGAGACAGAGTTGAGCTCAAATCCTTTATTTGGGAAGTAATCCCAGGGAGCAGCAGTAAGAAAATGAGGAAGGAAAAGGGGGAAGGAAGGAAGACAATGTTCATGAACAGGTTGCTATTATGGGCAGCCAGGGCTCAGTGGTGCTGGGGACCTCTGGGAGACATACCTCAGAATTGTCCCACCAAGGGGGCAGGGAGCTGAGATACTGACCCACCGTCTCTGCCTGTCATTGGTTGAGGAGCATTAACCCCCAGCCCCAGCACTACCGAGCGGCTTGTGAGTGAGCTGAGCGCGTGCTGTGTCCAGAGAAGCCACAGGCAGAGGGTCAGAGGCACGTGCTATAAGAAGCCATCTTCCATGGGAATGGTCCAGGAAGGGCACCAACAGCAACTGCTCCATGTGCAGAGTGTGTGTGTGTGTGTGTGTGCATGCATGTGTGTGTGCGTGGGGGAGAAGTCAGGTCGGGGCAATGGTGGGAGCAACTCTTACCTGTTTAGGTGGAAATGCTGGGGAACTGGAAAACCCACTGTGGCTCAGCGCTGTAAAAATCACTGGGGAGGCCAGGCACAGTGGTTCACGCCTGTAATCTCAGCATTTTCGGAGGCCATGTCAGGAGGACCACTTTAATCCAGAAGTTCGAGACCGGCCTGGGCAACATAGTGAGACCCCATCTCTACCAAAATAAAAATAAAAATTGAAAATCATCCAGGTGTGGTGGTGCACACCTGTAGTCCCAGCTACTTGGGAGGTGAAGCAGGGAGGGAAATTGAGCCCAGGAATTTGAGGTTGCAGTGAGCCATGATCACATCACTGCACTCCAGCCTGAGTGAGAGTGAGACTCTATCTCAAAGACATTTTTTTAAATACTGGGGATAGGAAAACAGAATCTGACAGACTCAGAGGCAGAGTCTATGAGAACTCAACCTCATTGCCTCCCTGGGCTGCTCCACAGCGGCCCTGGGCTCAGTGGCAGGGGTTACTGCACTGAATGAGTTCCTGCCTGAGCCCCCAACTGCTTCAAAGGTAGGATAATTCCAGGGAGTTGTATGCTTAGAGTTGCCTGGCAAAGGGCTGCACCACCCCAGAAGGAGGTGGGGATGAGGCCAGTGGAGCTGGAGGGGACCGGACCGGATCCGCACAGAGAAGGAGGTGGGGATGAGGCCAGTGGAGCTGGAGGGGACCGGACCGGATCCGCACAGAGGAATCGGCATTTCCTCCAGTCCTCTGCCCACTCAGGGCTGTGACTTTCATCCTGCTGCCGTGGCCAGTGCCCAGCTCTGCCTGCAGGGTGAGGGTTGGGGCTCAGGTTTTCTCAGAGCCCTCCCAGGAGGGGCAGGTGATGAAGGAGGTGGGACTGTGGGGCTAGGCGGGGCCTGCTTTCCATTCACCTGTTCCAGAGGTAGAGAGAAAGCCACGATCCCCAGGGCAACCGTCACAGGATGTGGCTGGCACTGATGGGCCCCCTCCTCGGGCGTTCTGAACCCTCCCCAGGGTGGCGGGGGATTCCTAGGGGAGGAGCCACTGCTGGGGTAGGTGGGGCAGACTCAGGGGCAGGGGGCTTGTGAATGCCTGGGTTCAGCTCCCCACTCCACCCATCCTGGCTGTGTGGCCTCAGGCAAACCACTCAACATCTCTGAGCCTTTGTTTGCTGTAAGTTGGTCTGTAGAATGTGTGGGCAGTCGTGGGTAGCTCGCAGGTGGTGGTGAGGGTTAGAGGGTTGGCAGTAAATGCCCATGTCATTGGTAGATTAATCACTGCAGGTAAGAGCACTCTTTTTTTTTTTTTTTTTTTTTTGAGACGGAGTCTCGCTCTGT